GGGGACATCGGGATCCATGGCCAGAGACACTGAGTGATATGGCTGAGTGTGGTAAACACTGGGGTGACACTAGGGTATCTTCTTAAGGTTCTTTACACCATTGACCGTCATGAATTCTCCATTCTCGCCCCGACAGTGATTTGGACATTCCGATCTTCCACTTGGTCCTTCATTTTAAAATCAGCAGTCATGCAATATCAACCGATAGCGGTGCATGAACCTGCATGGTTAGCGGATGTAAAAAGGTTACAGCGGAAACGATCTATATCCTAGATGCACATGGTAGTTTTGACTTCCAAAAGGATTCACAAAATAATCACTCGGGGGAGGTAGGCAAATCAGCGGTTTCTCTGGCGAGAAAAAATGTGGCGAAAAGGCTATTTGGATTGATGTAAATAGGTTTAACTTAAAACATTCTAGCTAAAGAATTTGTACATGGTGGCCACATGGAACCTACGTGGAATACACATTAGAATGGAAGTTCCAGTCGAGAAAGAAGCTACTTGGATGAACAGAAGGAGTAAACTCGTGACCCTGACAGAATTTGTCCCCGTGACCAGTTACTGCTCCGTTCATAGTCATTATATGCTCCCTCATAAGTTTGACCGGATAACGAAATACTGTGATATGACCATACGGGGACATGACCCTCTGTGAATAAGTGCACGAGTGTAATATACGCTGAAGGACCGGAGTGAAAGTAGTAGTATAGTAGTAGTAACAGTGGTGAAAGAAAGAAAAAAGTAGTTAGAGAATAAATATCATGTGTCCTGCATTACCCAAGGCCGTAATTGAATATGTAATCAGTGTTCTCTGATTGTGAAAAGAATTTGCTTGCAATCTAAAAGATTACACTTTCATTCACATCTCGCCACCCATCTTCTCTCTGTCATTTGGATAATTGTGATGTGTTGGCACAGATAGTACAACAACAAATTTCTCCATCGTTATTTTGTGATGTTCAAAGTCTATTTGGAGATTTAAAAATATGAATTTTCTACAGTGCCTTAGTATTCGGAGAGTGCTGGCGTGTATGGTGTCAAGCTGATATATCCTACTGTCATTTCCTGCTTGAAGATGTTTTTGTTGCTTCTGAGTGGCGGCAGTTTAAAAACGGGGGTTCAAAAGGTTTTATAAGTTGCTTTCGTGTAACTAGTTCATAAACTTGATATACCTGCGTTACATTTGATGGCCCTTCATTCACCTATTATTTTGGTAATCAAGACAGACAAGGGACGTAGTGCTTTGGGGAACAATAAAACAGCGCAACTAACAGCGAAGTCTTCCTCTCAGATGTTGCATGGGCACAAAATTCTCAGGATCTCTCCCTCTAGACAATCAGCTGATTTTATGAAGGGGACAGGGTAGCTTCAATTCATTGATACCTTGTACTTGTCAAGTCAGATTAACGTGTCCCTCACAAATTAACAGACTCAGAAAGATGGTAAAACTGCTCGAACCAGTGCATATTCCGCAGGGACTCGAATCCTGGAACTAGAGGTTGTCGATCAGACCTTTCAACCACTTAGCCTATTAAGGTTGGCCCCGAGGAGCTTGTTACACATCAACATTGCATAATTCGTCTGAAATGGGTCCTTGTGTTGAACACATTCATTCCTTGATGTTCTATCGCGCAGTGGGGTTCTGGGTCTGATTCTTGGTGAATTCGATGGATATGTACTACTAACAATGATGGTGCAAGCATTTCACCGGGACGTAAGACACGATGACTCCGCATGGCAGTTCAGCGAGCACGTTGTTCAGTTGTTTAGTTTCTACTCGGTGTCGCTGATATGAGAAGCTAGTTATCATTCGATGTTTCGTGGATGAATAAATATTCTCGGGTGAGTGTACAATAAAAATCGTTTCTATATACCCAATCTAGTAATCAGAGTGATAAACAACCCTAACCAACATCAGACATGAAACAATATGCCAGAACATGGTTGGTCAGTCCCTCTCAGCTCATCAGTGAATGAATGAGCAATACGCGTGCAACCCAATAGTGCGTTCCTGGTTGTATTCTTATGTTGCTATATTGTAGATATATCACATCACCTTGATATCTCAAAATAAATGAGATTGCTCCTGTTCTGCAAATGGTGCAGTAAAACGTGTATCAGTCAGGAGAAGAGTGAATAACGTCGATGTTCACACACTAAGGCTATATAGTGACAGACTTAAAACCGTATCCGAATGCTTAACTCACCTGCGGCACGGGGTGACAGCTAATTGCAGACCGATGATCAGAAGTAAATCATTCATACGCTTCACGTCATTTCTCATCAATGCTGCCTGAAATTCTCACCCTTTCTACAAACAGGTGGTAAAAGTGCCAGTTGTGCGCCCCAATGTGTGTCCGAATTGGGTTGTTGGGGTCCGGGACCAACGTTTTGCCGAGCCTGTCGTCACTGGTCCGTGCCACGATCAGACGGAACTCGGTTGTGCGTGGATCAGTGCGAACGCGTGCCCGGTCACTTCACACCCAATCAGACCAGCACTGTCGACGCACCTCCGACCGCCACCGTGCCAGCTGGTCCCACGTCAAATGGACACAATCGCATCGTGACCGAGTCGACAAGTGTTCAAAGTCATGCGTCTAACGGTGCCAAAACCAGTATGTCCGGCAACCTGCAATGTGGCATTTGTTCTGTCAATTGTCGTTTGGAGAAAAATGCATGCTTTGGACCGGGTTCGGATCAATGTATCGGGTCATGTCGATGGGTTCAAGTAAGTTCCATTTTATTGAAGAACCATTTCAATCACAGATAGATTTTTCTTTTTTACATTCAATTTGTACTTAATGGGGTACAGTCACTGTCATCTGTGACGCTTATCCGAACAACATGCCATTTGAATCGCAACACCTGGAATTGACCAGCTCGTAGGAAAGCATCGTGACAAATAATAGCAAACTTCGTAATGTCATCGGAAGGGAGACAAAAATGTGAGATGAGGACTCCCCCGGAATTAATAAGGGAAGGCAAGAATAGAAAAATGTAAAGGAGTTCAAAAGTAATATGTTGAGAGGAGACGCGAAACCCGTCTCACAATGCCGTTTTTATCATTCTTCGCTCGGTCTCTCAGTCTACTGGCTTCACTCATTCCAGTTTGGTCCTTTGATATTCCAGTGATATAAATATCAGCTTCATTTCTACGTTGAATATAACTTTACACACAGTGTTACTCTTTGTTAACAGTTTGAAACAGCCTTTCACTTCATAAAATTACCGCGTATGCATGTAAATGACACTGAAAATTTTCGGTTCTAACACAATGTCCAGGGCGAAAATCAATGAGACCCGTTTAAAGAGATCTCAGTTACTGCGAGCTTTGGACGTTCAATTTGGAAGTGAATAACAAAGAGGGATACCTTCTTGCATAACTGGGTGTGCGATTCCTCTTCTGAGTGAACGCTGTATCCCCTGCCACATCCTTTTACCACATTATAAAAACTTAGTGTTTATATCAGACACAACGAATCCTCGGCCACCGTGTTCTTAGACAATAAAGCTATCAAGCAATAGACAAAGCAGAACAGTTGCGAAGGAAGAAAATTATCTTACTGATTAAAAACCTAACTCTGTGTTACTTTGGTTATTGGGCTTTTGAAAACTGACTGTTTCTTGTCCTATCTATTCCCGTGAGAGAGCGATCTTCTGTGTTGTTAGGCCTTCATGATGTCTGGTCATTACTACACTCGTTTACTGTAACATTGCCAGTTACTGCAATACGTTCTCTTATACATGTTGACCACCTATTATTCAAATAAACTGTTATTAAACAACAAACGTAAAGCGCAAGTGCTAAAGAATTGCTGCTGAATGACATATTCCGTTGATGGGTGCACGTATTTAGGTATGACCAAGCCTTACTTGAGCACCAGTCTATCGAAACTCATTATCGAATGACTTGGAAGATCTGACGCAGGACGTGCTTTTGCAGCCATATCAAGACACCTGGAAGATGATTCTGGCCTCCGTCTCACTTGCACGAGAAATTTCTGAATGAGTTCACTGGAAAACTATCAGGTCCGCTGTTTACAAGAAAACCATGGGGGAAGTGCAATATAAACTCACAAACGAAGCAGTTCTCAGTGACAATAATTCCCCGACCATAATAGAAACGTGCAATGTGTTACTTAAAATCGTCTCGTTTATATCTTCACATGGCTAATTTCCACGAAATAGGGCAACAATTTTGTTTCCGAAGTGTTAGCCGAGCTGGAATTGTTGTTCACGGATGTNTGTAGCCAGGCTAAGCCACATCTTCCGTACATCATCGGTTGCCACGCCCGGCTACGAAACATCCGTGAACAACAATTCCAGCTCAGGGAACATAGAAACAACAGCAACATCCACATCCTGAGTCACAATCATTCCAAATTATTTGCAAAACGGCAACCATTCACAGAACAAACTAAGACAACCCCATGATCAGATGAAAATCGTTAAGGTAACGCCGACAATGAAGCTAGTTAGTGCATACAAGTAATTGATTGTCAACTTGATGGAATCACATCTGAAGATCACAAATAGATGTTAAGTCAACTTTCCTGCCCCCCCCCTCACCAGCCAAATCTGAGATTGTATGCCAAAGAGAAATAATTGTATGCATGCATGTTTGCTTGTCCTGGTGTTTGTGTTTGCGTGCATAAATAGGCTGACAAACTCTGTTTTCAAATGGGAATTCGTCGTGTGTATACAACAAATGAAGCGTGAACTGAAAAGCTCGGAAGCACTAGATAGCTGTTTCGACCTGGTTGGGTCTCATCCGTGCAGTGCGAATCCATCTACCTGACTGGGAATCGAACCCGGGACTTCATGGGCAGAAAGCTTCGCGTCCTGCCCACTCGGCCACCGGGAAGCTGATCGGACTGTTTTCCATTTTCCATTTACACGATATAGCATAACCCATCTTTGCGAACTTGTTACAGGTCATAGACCTAGCTACACGACGAATTCACCCTTTAAGTACTAGATTGCTAAATCCTCACAGCAGGTGTTTATTCTAAACATATCTCATTTAGCTAATCTCCTTATGTTTTTAGACGCAACCATGCGTCTTCTGGATGAGGGCGGAACCTAGGAGTTGTAGTACTTATACGAAGCATAACACTACGTAAATGGAAAAAGAAAAACGGTCTGATCAGCTGCCTGGTGGCCTAGTGGGCAGAACGCTTCGCGTCCTGCCCATGAAGTCCCGGGTTCGATTCCCAGTCAGGTAGATGGATTCGCACTGCACGGATGAGACTCAACCAGGTCGAAACAGCTATCTAGTGCTTCCGCGCTTTTCAGTTCACGCTTCATTTATTGTATATACACGACAAATTCCCTCACCCTCCACCCGAAAGGTGTGCATAATTCCAAACACAAATGATAAAATTTATNAACACTGTTTTCCCGTCACAAATTTGAACAGAGAAGTCAGAAACATGGGTTTGCACAATGTATCCATGGTCATTTCGCTGCATCTGTATACGTGCATACTGCAGTCCAAGTGATTTTTATAATCAGTGAGATAACAGATTTGAGAGACAAAATACAAGGTCGCTAATCACAACGGACAACGCAACGCAAAAACACAAAAAGGGGGAATGAGATAGGGCAGAGGGTCAATCACCAAGGCAAAGCTAATGTGACTAACCATTCGCGTTGTTTGCATAGATCAGGTTTGAGAGTGTGAATGGCTAAGGCCTCCGCAAATTTTAGTAATGTTCTGTTTGCTGTGTTGTAGATGACATGGAATGCGTGGGGTGGGGTGACACAGTGTTTTTGTTCGAGTAAATGTTGCGTTATCGAAGATCTAAGCTTTCTCCGATCAATCGATGACGTAACATTTGCAAAATTTTCGTCCATTGCTTTCTTAAGCCACACCGGGATGTGTTCGGTCATTTGGTGACGTAACTGCCTCTCTGTCCTGCCTATGTAGACGGCTGAGCATCCACACTTGAATTGGTAAATACAATTTGATTTGGCGGAGGGAGCCAATGGTTCTTTCACCGATGTCGTTGGTATCCGGGTAATAGTGGAGACAATGGCCGGGTCAACTGCGTAATAGACTCGCTTGACAGCAGAGTTCAACCGCTGGCTAACGACTTCACTCACGTCATCGCCGTTGTATGCTAACATCAAAAACGTTTTCTTTTTCGGGACAGTTAGTGAACTGTCTATTTTTGGTGTTACTTTACTATGCTTGGTGATGAAGGCGCCTGGATATCCGTTTGCTTGTAGTGCTTCTTTTAGGAAGTTGTCTTCGTCGCTTAAACAATCCTCTGTGCATATTTCACGAGCTCGATGAAATAGTGTGCGAACGAGCCCAATTTTGTATCTCGTCCAGTGGGACTGGAAAGTTTCATTGGCCCTTGACTCCTTGAAGATAGGGAACCTACAAAATTCCACCACCCACCAGTGAGCCGATAGATAATTCCGGAATATACCAGCGACACATTGAATGAAATACGCAGTTTAGCGAAAAAGTTTTTTTCGGTGACCGATAGATATTTGTTTATTCGCATCCCAGTCATGTCTGCCAAAGTGACTGATTCCTGCTCTCCAATTGTGTTTTGACCCGAAATCGGTCATCGCAGCACCATCATCACCAAACGTAACCGATTTCCAATCAACCTCGTCAAACTCGGACACCTGTAGTAATATCATTTCATCCTGTTTTAGCCCGAATGACCTTTTGATCGGGCGTGAAAATCCGGCCCCGCCAACACCGAAAACAATTGGTCTCATCCGCGTCTGCATTGTCAAGTTGGAAAAGATTGACACAAAAGTTAGGGATCACATAAACGCTCCCTTCTAAATTGTCTAGTGGGACGTGGTTCGTATATACTTTTCTGCATGCTAGACTGGTCACTCATACACAGGTGGCTAAATATTGGTCAAATGGCGAATTCTTTTGTGCATAGAAAAATGAGTTTCACCCCATAACTCTGTTCTTTACGTGAATCAAAATGATTTTCTGAAAACTGTTATTTGAACACAACATGCAAACACAGACACACACATAGGTCCGAAAATGAGTCCTATTATGGTGCAATCCAAAAAACTTCGTTCTTAGTTTGCTATACGAAAATTCTTGCGGATTTGACTGCTGCTAAACGGATTTGTACATCACAGCATGTCGTCTGAGTCTCGTTCACTTATACATGCAACAGTCACCTGCTATATCGTACCTATGATAGGTCACAATTTGTAATGTGATCCCACATTTCAGCAAACCCAAACCAACTGTATACGTAACAATGTAGGTCACCAGTTCAGGAATTCACACCTCCTGAAACTTACTTACTTGGTCGCTGACCGATGTACGGGTTGACCATTAACCAGCCAACATACACAATTTCACATTGCAACCAATCACGTTTCACCTAGTTTGATGCACGCATGAAGCTGTTCACTAATCGGATAACCATTGTGAATAAAGGGACATTCATCTTTTCCCATCAAGCTGTAGCCAAAACCCTCAATGCTTCAATCGTGACCCGTAGTCCTTGAGCTTCGACGCACAAACTTTAGTCAACTAGATGTAAGTAAAAATTCTTAATTTAAAACAAACGGTATACTGTTCTGCATTTACAAACCCTGACATCAATAAGAAGGTGATACAATAAAAGTGAATGCTTACCGTTCCGTATTTTCACTTAAAGTGAAGTCCGTTTTGGAGAGGTGGATAGATTAACAGTTAAAGGAATGAAATATGCTCAGTCATTCCGGTCGGTAGCCAGCGCTCATTTCTTCCGACGATCGCGATCACATTCAAAAAGACAGATGCAACTGGTGACAGAATCATTGGATATGTCAATGTTTGCCCGAGCTAATGAGTTGATTGTCCTGTTACTCAAGATCGGCGTGATAGGTAGACTCAACTGCAGTACGAAGCCGACGACCAAACAGTGCAATTGCATCATCTCCTCATTCAAATCAGCGTATGGAAGTTTACAGACAGTGTGATGCCCGTTTCTCAGCGGAAACGCTTAAAAATATTTGACAGAGAACAATGAGAGTTTAGAATATTGAAAAAAGTCAATGTGGACTACCTATACCCAATAAATATCTTACCTGGTTCTGATTACGTGGTTGCTCTTGAATGCGGTTTCTTTTAACAAAACTTAAAACTTATATTACTGACTAATATGTTATTTCCCAGTTTCTGGAATTTATTCAGACTTTCGAAACCTTGTAGGGTAAAACGTAACAGGAGATTGACCGAAGTAAGTTTGAACAGACAGAGAGACAATCAAATAAGCATACAGACAACAGATAGGCAGACAGACAAACCCAAAGAAACACATAGGTCAATCATATTTTTCACAGAATCTGCTAAGGTGCGTTGTATAGTAACGCGCCGGAGATTAAACTACTTGTCATTTTAGATTACTACGTAAGAAGAACAGACTAAGTTATATCTATGGTTGTTCCCATCACTGCGGGATTATGAAGTATTCTCCACAATATATCTTTCTTGCGATGAGCCTCAGTTCACGCAAAAGCATTCTCCAGTGGTCGAATATAAATCAGTTTCAAATGTTTTAGGACAGGTCACTTATTGTCAATCCGGCCATGGGAGCTTGAGTACGTGCACAAATTGTTTCTGAGCACACAGAGTGAGGTTGTGAAGACGGATGGAAACTGCCTCCGCTGTGGCTAGAATACGAAACCGTACTTGTCTAGACCGTCCCGTCTTAACTATATACAAGGGTCGGAACGCTTCAATCACGTTTACAATGTAATAAGTGTCGACAAGGTGATACAAGATCGTGCTTATGATTGACTTAATTGCTCTACTTCGCAACCACTCAGGGTGATGCTCGCGGATGCGCTCGGATAGACTCCTGGTCGTGCGGCCACATACCTTGCATCACAGGAATAAGTGAAAGAGTAAATACAGAAAGAGGCAACAGAATCGGGCACTCTATTCTTCAACCGTAGATACACCAACGGGCTAGATGTGAATCGAGTTTGAAGAGTAGCCGCGTAGAACGTTATGCTGATGGCATTTGCTAACCTTCTGTGCACAATCTCTGTCAAAATGTCCCCTTTATATGGTAAAGAAATGCACACAGAGTTCTTCTCAGCCATTACTCTCTTGGGAAACGACTCTTGACGTTGTATCACAGAGTTAAGAGGGGACGGCCTAGACACGTACGGTTTTGCATTCTAGCCACAGTATAGGCAGGTTCCATCCGTCTTCACAACCCCTCCCCCCTCCTCTATGCGCTCAGACACAGTTCGTGCAAGCACTCAAGCTCCCATGGCCGGATTGCCGACAAGTTATCGGTCATGAAACATCGGAGCAAGTGATAATTGGGGATCAATTATGAAACAGACTTCAATTACTTTCTCTCTTTTTTCCTTGTAAATCCTTCTCTGATACCATAGTCACATTTTTTTGTGTTGTAACGAGTTTGTTGGGAAATTTGTGTTCTCTTTATGAGCTCCGTGGGACTGTTTGAACAGTTTCAAATGTACAGAACATTTCTGGCGAGGTTATCGCCGATCTTCCGCTCCAGGCTTACCATAAATATATCTGCCAGGATGGGATGTAAGATACATGAGTTAGAAACATTATTAGAAGGCGGATTACTGAATGAGTCGACCGCCAAGCGTCTAAAACCACGAGGATAGCAAACACTACACCTGTACGGTCTTCCGAAGTTGCGCAAACCCCAAGTACCGTTGAGATCTATCTTATCAATGCCGCGTTCGTCCAACACCAATTAGCGAAATGGCTTGTAAGAATATTAAAACCGATCACCGAAAAACTATGTTTTCACAGTCTAACGGACAGCTTCCAATTGGTAGAACTTATAAACCCTGTAAATGTAAATCACATACATATGGCTAGCTTGGATGTGGAGTCGTTGTTTACCAACGTGCCACTGAAAGAAACTGTGACATTTATTTGTCACTTCGCACAACAGAACAATGTAAGACCTCCAGTCCCCTTATCAGAACTGACGAGGTTAGTTCTACTGTGCATAGAGAACATTTGCTTCCATTTTCAGGTAAGATACTTCCGCCAACTCGATGGTGTAGCCATGGGAAGTCCTTTTGGTCCCATCCTGGCAAATATATATTTATGGCAAGCCTGGAGCGGAAAATCGGCGATAACCTCGCCAGAAATGTGCTGCACAAACGATACGTGGATAACGTGTTGCTTATAGTTCCAAATGTGTTGATAATAAATTCTAACCTATTCTCAGATAGGGTCGAAAACTTAGGATGCAACATCAAAGGGGATATATATATATAGATGAGTATCTATACCAAAATGTGCTCATTGGTAATGTTCACACACGGCTTGACAATCTACCGAAATTGTCTAATAATATCAGAAACAATTAGTTTCACCAAATGGGTTTGGTTTTTATCAGCAATTCAGACACACTTGTTGATGTGACTCATGAAATGAATAGAGCACGGTCGTCTTGAACACACACACACGCATACAATCCTGAGTCACAACTCATCTATTCGTCTCATTTTATTTCGTGCTTTCCTTATCGGAACAGCTGCTTCCGAGTATATCGAACACGTAAAAGGTTTTCCAGGGCAGTTCTGTCGTATTTCACGTATGTTTCCAGCAAGGAACTTGGAAATTTCGAATCGTTAGCTTTTACTTGTGCCCACCAACGGCACCTGCGTACAAAATTTGTGCTATACAAAGCCTCAGTTGGGCCGTGCCTCGTTACATTTCTGTAAAGTTGAAATCCAATTCATACTGAATTAACCTCGTTGTTGGTTCAACGTGTTTTACTTTAGTTGTCCGTACGACCGTATGATCCAGAATTAGTTAAAGTGCTTCAATTTTATGTTACCGAAAGATCACCTATGAGTATACCCACACAATACGTGGTTGGCTCTTTGGTGTACATTATGTTTCTCTGAGAAAATGTTTGAATTCTGTTCAACCCCACTGCTCTTCTATTTCCCCGGTTGGCTCAGGATGGTCCCTACTGTCGTGAAAGATGTCCACTCGGCAAATTTGAGGAACCGGTCACTCAAGTTTGCCGTGAATGCCATCCCGTGTGCTCGATCCCACTTCCACTGGTCACCGATTCTTTTGCACGCTCGAACGGAGCGGTGAATGACCAGACAGCCCTGGCCTCCCGAGTGTGCACAGGTCCGGGAAATTGGCCAGGTCCGGGTGGTTGCAACTATTGTCGTCAAACGGCAATACTTAGGCGAACGGATTCACATGGAAGCGAAGGAATACATCTAGAATGTGTTGAGGTAAGCAATGCAGTGTTTTTCGTTTTAAGCTTTCCCTGGTCATATAGCAGCGATCAGGCCAAGATGCAAAATTTATACTTTGTCAATATATTTGAATGTTTAGATCTTTTCTAATACGTTTGTGAATGGAAATTTCAAGGGTCACAAGTGACATTAAAATGAGTGTTTTTCGGTTGATGTAAGCATGTATGCACGTACGTATGGATGAGTGGATGGATGGATGGATGAATGGATGGATGAGGCTATCTAAATCTAGCCCAACCTTAGGCCTAATATCTTGACAAGCACGGTGTTTAGCTCCAATCATCCTCGGTAGACTGTAAGACAGTAGCTAATTTTGTGGGGTAACTAAGCATGATTCTACTCAAAACTCTCCCNGACTAATTTTAGTTTGTCGCATTACGGATTAAGTGCTCCCCATTCACAATCGTATTCCAACTACAACTACAGTCTTGGAAGACGAATCAATTACGGCAGAGGTCGATGCTCCGGAAGAGCCACAGCTTGGAGTGTATTATATCGTTATGCTATTCTGTTCAACCAAAGTATTTCCGTCTGCAGTTCTCAACTGCCTACTAAATATTACGGGATGTCCTGAACATAACGAGTAAATCGAGCAAATAGATGATCATTTCGCATATTTTTCGTACATTTTCTCGGCTTGTTTCTTTCTTCCCAATCCAGGCATGTCCAAGTGACACCTATTTACACGTGGTCAATCTGCATTACCGAGGTGGATCGAGCACTCACCGTGTGGCCACATTGAATGCCTGGAAATCTCCACCAGTGACAGCTCCACAACATCGTCCGCCATGGTCACACACGGATGGAGCAATTTTTGAGCGATTTCCGACCGACGTCCAAACCGAACTGAAGACCTGGTTGCATAATCATACTCAACCACAACTGTACGGTGTTGCTCGTGTATGCCTGCCATGTCACGATCAATGTGCCCGTAATCCAGACGTTCTTCTGGGATCCACCGCACGGGCTTCTATTTGCTTCGGTCCGGGGCCGGAACAATGCGTACGCTGTGCAAATGCAAGCTATCTCGGTCGATGCGTATCTCACTGTCCGGAGGGTGAGTAACAGTCATTTTAACAATTTCATTTCATCTAATCCTCCTACTTAGAGCGCTCATACTCGGGACCGATGAGGTTAGTTCCCTCCAAGGAGAAGGACAGTCCTAAGATGTCATAAAAGATGGTTGAATTGGGAGGATAACTTATCAGCATTCGCATGCCTATCAAATGGTTATAGTAAGCTTACTGATAGCTGTTCCGCTGGAAATAAGACAAGAAACAAACTTTCAACGATAATTTTATTCTGTTAGTAAATTATCCATAGACAATTATTTTACGTATTATCGTCCCATATTTAGAAAACAATTCTAGCACAGAGTTCACGCACAACAATCAAGTTACACTACTTTAGATGCAGTCATCGTAGGCTTCTTTTTGCACACAGTCATGTATTTTATCCCTCGTCTTCAGCAGTTACGGACAGCAACTTGTCGGCACGTTTCTCCCCCACCCTGCTGATCCCTATTGCGCAATCTTGTGCACACCGAGTGAGGGTGCAATGCTTGTTTTGCGGAAACTGAGTTCTTCTGTTGAATATAATTTACTTTATTGCAGGGACCAGGAAATGATTTCCATTTTTTTCCGTCTCATCGTGAATCGTTAATAATTTTGAGGTTGAATTTGAACCAATCGGAATTCACACTCCATCCTCACACACAACCGAGACAACTGTACACTCGAGGAGCACTGTAGATTCCAGTTTGTCCAATTACCGACCCTAATGACAGATAGTCAGTAAGTTCGTCAAACAGCAACCAAAGAAGAGGTAGTTGATGTTCGAACAAACATAAATTGTTTATTACGGTTAACCCCCGGTCTGAGCTGGCCGACACTTTACAACACACACACACTCATGCATTCCATGAAATGGGTCTGGAGTTCAAATCACGGTCGGGAGGGATGATGTACGATACTGATTAAATCTACGTAGAACGAAACTAGAGTCAAAGACTTCCTGGGTTTTTGCCTTCCTTGATGCACTAGAAATGCAATCTGAAAGGTAGTCAATATAAATCAATATCCCTTACTCTCTCTCTATGATTTGCAAGTAATTGTAAGTTAAATGAGAATTATGAGTTTATACGAGGTGATATGGAAGTTCCAGTGGCTGAATTAGATAAACCCAGACAAACTAGTCATGCAGAAGATGGAATGTTTGAGTGTCAACGCAAGTCGCAATCAAGTGAGTGAGCACAGCAAGGTGGGGGAAAGTACTGAGTATATGTAAACGACACTGTCTAATGATAACAATGACCTTCATACATGGATATTTTGTTATTACCGTGAACGCTTACCGAGGTGCGAAATTGCATATCTGTCACAGTAGAAGGATGGATCTACGTGCTGTGTTCAGAACAGGGNCTTCGATGCTAACATTTGTCACAATCGGGACAATGTGTTCGCCGTGGCCGAGTGTGCGGTGAGAATCAGCCTCTATGAACACGTTCTACAGTGTAACTACAACATAAGCAGCTCATTTGAGTAGCGAATTACGTGGATGATGTGAACCGGATTCGCATTAGGCGTGAACAGGCTGTTAGTGTGATTTAATTGTTTCCACTCTTGCAGCCTCACTACTCGTTCCCAACCGTGGACTCGTAAACAATTGAACAACACAAAAGGCTATTCATAACTGTAGAAAACCAAGGGATTGCACCGAATTTTGTGCTAACTAAAATCTATAACTTAATTAGGAAAAAGTAGGACCAGGTTCCTAACGAACTGCGTACTTCGTTTTGGGTGAGCCGCCCAAGAGCTCCTACGAACAAACCGCTTATTCATCTACAAGTNACAAACCGCTTATTCATCTACAAGTTATATGATCTGATGTCACGTTGTTGTTATGGATGTGGTCAACCAACTAATCATTCAATTTTTCTGAAGCTTTCCCAGTGACACTTTCAAACACGTGATTCGTACGCCTTATCAATGGTTAAATGATATGGCAGGTCTGGGCTCGTCGACTCTTGTCCTCTGTCAACCAAACATCTGTGACACTTTTACTATCGAATACACGTGTGTTTTGGGGTCACTATTTTCAAAACGGTGGTCGTTTGTACCAACGCGTTTATGATGCAATAGTCGTAGGATTTACCAAAGATGAAACAGAAACCTATTTTCCTATCATCGGCAAAGTTTTCAGCATACTTTTACATGATAATCAACACATGATTAAATACCACATAGAAAATAAAAACGATCGTAATGTTTGCGATTGCAAGGTATCCGTTTTTCGATAAAATAAACCACCTTCGTCAATCGAGAGATTGTATTCTGCCTGATCATTATCACTCCGCAGATCCGCAATACTATCCACAAAGCGGTCCCATATAAATTTTCAGAAAGCGAGAAAGCATTTCCATTCTACTGTTCTGAACCTTGAAACAATAGACTCAAGTTTCTAGTATTATAATTCCACAAGGTGGTGCCTGGTTAACGAGAGTTGTTTATTACGAATAACAGTCAGGATATCGGTAAAGTAGTATACATATAACAAAATCTTTCATTTGGAACGAGTCTTCAGAAATTACACACACACAGGATAGTTCATTGAACGATTCAATATTAGATACACAGTCTTGTAGTAACCTTACCGAACACAGCGATTTGCTTTAAAAGGTCTTGTTCACTTTTGACCTTTGAAAGAAAACCGCCGATCGCATCCTTTTGCGAACTACTCACAAATGTGAGGAGTATCTCACAACACTGGGGAGTTCGTTAATAGCACCTATCAAGCGGCCCAATAGAGATTTTAATCATACAACAGCTCAGGAAACGAGTATGTTACCACCGTTCCAACCAACCAGTCCACATCGGGCCTAACCAGAACTATCAATGCAAATTTGCCCAGGTGTTTTGCTCCATAAATGTCAGTCAGCTGATTTGGATGGACGGTAGCGATCGGTGACGCTTCACGTTATCTGTTTACTTCAATTGACAGTACTCCACTGTATCAGATCTTCAATACAATTTGAGTTTACTTTGTCCAATACGCATTCAATTTAGATATATAGGTCACAGTTATTTGACTAGTGGATATGCACTACGGATGAAAGAGCCAGACTCTCTGCTTGTTCGGTTGAATAAACAATCTGTGTTTTACGGGTGAAATTTGATGTCAGCGACCAATCCATAGCACTATTGTCTTGATTTGTGATAATACAATTTAATACAACACAACTAGATTAACCATGCGAAGTTGATTGATTCTCAATTATCTCTGCTAGTTGACTCAAATGTAGACGTATTGATATCCGCGTTACTCACGACAGATATTCTTCGCTTATATTTTTTTCCAATTTCCGGTCTTTCTCTCTCTGTGGGTCATGTGGCAAATATTGATCTGACGCAATTCAACTCCCTCACTCATCAGTTGTGTGTTTCTCTTGCTGTACTAATCCGCCCAAAAGGTACTTACGAAATACCGCGGTGGCAACAATTCGCCAGTTCCGAATCAGGTCAAGGCATGGAAGAGCTCTTCTTGCAAATCAATAATGCCTATATGACTGCCGCAGTGATTGATCATTCCACGTGGATACGTCAAATGTTTCACTGGCACGAATGTCTACCCTGTCACTCGTTGTGTCACTCCGGTTGTACGGGACCGTCTACGAGTCAGTGCCACAGATGTCGTGTGGTAAAAATCTATTTGAACAGAGCAAAAACCAAAGTGAGTGTAGTCTTGAGAATAGTATTCGAGATGTAGCTCCGGAATTCACGCAGTACCGATCCCCGAAATAGAAAAATTTCGAATCGAATAGCACACGGAATTTATTCGAATTTTATACTCTGTATATTCAATGCATTTAAAGTGTACAGTGAATTAGTCGAGGTCAGTGTCACACATCAAAGTGAGGCACACTCACACGCACGGTTTGATTTACTTCATTCGTCAGAATCACAGTGGAACTGTTGACTGTTTATGGTAAAACGTTAGTTTGATAATAAGACCAAAGATACTGCAAACATATGGAATGTAAAGACCAAGTAACTTCTTTTTCAAAGGCAATTTATTTAAGAATTGTGTTCATTTTGCTTAAAAACGCGAAATGTTTATGATTGTGACCGTTTTCTACTAACTGTGTTAGACTTTTATTCCTTGGACAAATCTGGACAATCTGTCCTTCACGTTTTACTCCCTTTGTTCCTCAAATTTGGATTCCGTATCCTGGTTTCTTCCTTTTTGAAAAAACAAAACAAAATTTACCATCTCATAAAACTACTCACCTCACTATTCAGGTATTTTTCAAAGATGAAATGCAGCAGTCAAGTGAGGGAACATACTTTTAAAGTCTATTTTAAGCAATTCTGGGGTATCATGAGTTATTGTGTGATCCTTTTTCCATTTTCCACTCTTTTGATTGGTATTTAAACAAGTCAACAGTTTTGTAATATGAATCTATCTGAAGTTAGACAGTTACTGATAACTTGTCTCACATAGAACGTTTTCTCTTTTATTGTAGTCTATAATTATGAACCCATGTTCATGTCTGGAATGCACTTTCAGTGGTTCTTGCTCTCCAGCTCCAACAAACCCTGTTTCAATAAACGCGAATTTTCTATCCAGCAATATGTTTTAATATCTGGGGGTTGCGTTATGCGTTAAACTGTGACGGTCAGTACTGTTTGGAGATTCTTTGATGTTTCTTTACCTCTTAAAATGCAAAATCATACATTTTGACACTCCGTTGTGAGTCATTGTTTAGTTCAATGCTGCATTGTTCCTCCCAGTCACCTGAAACATTACTTACAAACCAACCACCGTATTTGTGGAATATTCGTGGCAATTTTATTCCAGTTTATTGATGATCTAGTGAACACGACGATCGATATACCGATTGTTGAGTCATCAACCAATTTCTTTTCGTTTGAACCTACGTAATAATGTAACTGTCCATATACGGTGTTTTTATAACATTACGACCTATTCAATGTGTGCCTAGACAGCTGATGGAGAACACGCGAGCACGAAGTTGATGGTCAACATCAATTCGCGATTACAGGTAGTGTTTCACTGTATCCAATGTGACTCTTTTTTATTCATGAGTCAGTTTAGTAATGATCTGATGTGAATTGTATATCAGAGGCCAGAACTCGTTTTATAGCTTCCAATACGGTCGATTCACTTGAATGAATACAGTTTGTACACCTGGAACATTTCTGCCGTCAGGAGGATTGAAATAATTTTCGAAATAATTCCGGTTTTTCTGGGTTGCAACATTTTGCACCTCGTGTGGCTGACTCTCAACACCATTTATTTAATACATTCCATACCACATATCATATATGTATATATATATATATATAATAAATCACCACTTCAAGTAGTATTCAAGAACGCTGCGGAAGCCTGGTGAAAATCCAAGTTTAACCATATCAATTGCTGTTCGGTGAGCACTGGGTTCCGGTACTGAATATCAATGACACAAAAACATGCTCCTCAAGAGAATTTCGAAATAATAGGTTTCTGAGTTTGTGTCCAGTTAGAAGAATCACTTTACCTTTCGTCATTGGCTCTCTTCTTCCCAAATTATACATCCAAATTGAGGGATAGTTAAATTGACAAATGGAGCTTGGCTGTCAATAAAAATCAGGAATTATCATGAGGTTTACTTTTTAAAGATTGGTGTCAACTTTGCCTGATTTCAAGTCAATTCAAGGAATGGTTTTATGCACCTCGAGAGTTGGATATTCAACAATCACATAACCCCAGTGTGTCAACAAAAATTGAAAAAAAAGACAATATATAATACAGTAATTAAAGGACGTGAAAAAAGACAGCAATATCAGAAACCAATGGCATACCCGGGTGTTTCTGATTGATTTTGTTTAGCGTTTTGCGCAGATTTCTTGCAACGAGTTCATGATTTGTTAGGAATCTGGCGAGATAAGGGACAGTAGACGGCCTGTAAGCTTCAGTTTGTGCCATTATACGTTTGTGAATGGAACGGGTGGATGAGTGTGAAAGGCACTGACTGAGGGCGGAATAAACAGAATAAAGAGAACTATCAGCAACCTCATGGTCATTTTTTCACTGTGATTGGATACCGGTTGTAGCGCGCTAAATTAATCCTTAATAATGCTCAAAGTCTCTATGCGTGAGTCATTTGATTGTTCTGTATCATAAGAGCCAGTTAATAGTACATCGCCTCTTTTTTTAAAATTCATTCACTGTGCATGAACTCGAATAATATGGTGCTTAATTTCACCGATTCTTCTCCCTTTTTTGAAGTTTGCTTGAATCCGAGACTGACATTAACATATCCAAACATGCCTAGATATCGTTTCGTTGTACTGCTATCGCTGTGTGAACATCACAGTTTATCGTTCAGTTGTGAGTATTTCTCTCTTGCTTTCTCCTGGGTCAGTGGCGTTGCGGTTTCACGTGTCCAATACTGTACAAATATCAAGTCCGCGATCACCACACTGGGGATTTGGTCTGCTCCACCCGGGCAGATCGAATCCGTGTGTTTCTCGATCCGAGTCCGAGTCCGGATGTACGAGAGCACGGATCCGAGAAAATCCCCGAACGAAATCAGTCTAACACGGGAGCGATGGACTGGAGCGAATCTGATGACCTTGAAGTGTTAAATGCCGAACGATTGGATGCCGTTCATCAGTACAATGTGCACTTTTACTTGTCCGGGGAAACCGCTGGAACATTGGCTGCATCAGCTGCCTGTTTGGCATTTTTATTGGCTTTGAGTGGGTTAATTTATTGGGCCGTACTACAACAACCACCGCATCCAGAACCACAGTTTGTCGAATGGTTAGGTAAAAATGGACGGCCCAGGTTGCGCAGCCGCATGAGCCGTGCATGTGAACGACTATGGACACGGGGACTACCTCGACCCGATTACGGAAATGTAACCGGGGATGGTAGCGGAAAAGGTTTGCTAAGTACAGTCGGACAAGTACGATTGACAAAGGAGAAGAAATATTCTCATACTATACCGGAACCGTGGAGTCGATCCGAAACCAGTGCGGAACGAACGGATTATTCTCTGCAACCGTTTGGCGCAACGGATACATTGGATGCGGTAGGTGATTGGTTCTCCTCTCAATAAAAGTTGGAAGAGCTTTTCTGATGATTTTTGGCAATCGTCTCAGTTCTACGTACAATTTTTTTGAATATTATATAAATTTTAGTGTTTTGGCCTTAAATGTCGAAACCTTTAAGCAAGAAAAACTTTTCTTTAAAGTCAATCAGTAAACGAGGTGTATCTACGTGATGCTCATAAAGTACAGACACCAAAACAAGCAGTAATCATTCAATAGAAAACAATCCGCAAAACACGCACGCATGCGTGAAATTCCATTCTATGAACTGGCCTACCACCCGCGCAATTCTCGATTCAATAAAATTTCCCTTAGTAACACCATAGTGTCTACATAGATCACCCCTGGTGACATCCGTCCTAGGGAGTGGAGTAGGGTGTAGAATACACCGAATGGGAGCCTGGTAATACCTATAGAATTTTGAGAAACCTACAGCGATAAACATTTGCCTTTTAGATTGGGTGAAACGAAATGAGAACTTATCAGGCAGTGAGGGTCAAACAGATTGTAATGGGCACGTCACGCTACAGCTTATTTCTTTACATTCCTTCACGAGCATATGGCTAACTTTGATTGACCGAGAGAACCATCGGAGTGCCAAATCATAAACCTCCTTTATGCCTCAGAAAGTTGGCAGTTGTTCGTTGTTTACACATAAACATCAGAAATTGACTCATCAATATGTGTTTTATGTTACAACTATTCGACACATAGGCTAGAAACTCCGCTGCATGTTGTTCTTGAAAATATCCCAGGCCTCCGTCGGATTTGGATCCTCGCTGGTGGATCGCCGGTTTAAAAAAAACACAGGTTGTTCCTTCATGTTAGGTGTCTCTACCACAGACAATCATGATAGTTTCGCAATCATATCGTTGGACAGAAAAAAACGTTTGTATCGTATACTGACCCTGGTGAGTTTTCTTGCGTGGCTTCGTTAAGATGAATTGATACTTTCGCTCACTGAAACTGGCATACATTCCAACCACTAGTGATTTCATCAGGTATCGATGGCGGAACAACATTCCTCCAAAGAAGGAGTCGGTGCTGAAGCTCCAGCCCAAAACGGAGGTAGAATTCAGAAGCATCGGAGTTGATTCAATCAATTAGATACGGCTACTATACCAAGACTGAATAGACCGGGAAAAAAACACTGAGGGATAACACAATCATTTTTATACAAATTTCTAAGAAACTGTTCGGTTAAGATTAGTGACAATCCATGATTTACTTACAAATATCATTTCTTGACGAATCAATCCTACATACAGATGTGTGGTTTTGGTCTGATTATATTCAATGACTGATTGGATCGATATGGCAGAAAAAATAGGTTGAATTTGGCATTTGAACTCATTTCTCGTGATATCTTCGGTGAACACACAAGCCCATCTTGGTTAGAGCAACCTTGGAAGAAAAACAGTCACTTATCTCTCCCTCATGTTCATGGGATGATCTCCCTGTTCCGAATGTAACTGTTAGACTACAAAACGTGTTATTTGTTTGACCAAAAGTTACATGTACACTACAATGAATGATATCCGCTCTTAGTTACTGTAATCTAATCGTACTTCGAGTTCTCTAAGCGTAATGGACTGGAAAGGATTGCGCCAGAGCATGTCCCCGGCTCGCGATTCGAGACCATACCAAGCTAGGCGGTGACTGATGACAAAACGGCGAGAAGGGCGTGCACGATTGTAAGAATGACAGGGGTATAGAGTTGTGAGGATATACTAACAGATAGGTCATCCGTGTGTCCGGGTTTCTGATAAAATTCAAGGGAGAAGGAAGAAAACGTTGTGAACCCTGAGAGTTCAGTGAGCTGGGAGGAATTGTAATAAAAGTATTACTGGTACTGTTTCCGAGCGTTGCAATGCCATACGATGCGCTCCATTTGAGGTCAGATCACGTTTGACGTAAAATGAGTGGATCAGTGACATTAATAGTGCAACTGATTCCTGCAAGCATAGCCCTGGGGCGTATACACTATCCTGGATTCCAGCTTGAATTGCAACTCCTGCTTCAATACGAAGAACGGTTTACGGTTACTTTGATATTCAAAAATATTATCGATTGTGTACTGTTTTGATAGTGAGTCCTACATAAATACAAAAGTAGGCTTGGTGGATCAGTTCCATTTGGGGTGATTCATCTGTGCACCGCTTTTTGTCGGTCATAGCACAGATGTTACAAATACAACTCGTAAGCTCCATGCATTGTTTGTCTACACCCACAACTTCACTCGAGAAAGCAGTTAATTGAAATCCAATCTCTACCACACTATGTCGGTTTTACTAAGCAACCTGAAAATGCTGGACAAAATATTAGCAAAAGTAAGGTCTTTTCAGAAGGAAGTTGTCATGTAACGCGAGGTTGTTAGTGCCGTTCCACCTGTGGTTGTGAAATAAGAATCAAAGTAATCTTGAACGCATTTTACAAATGGATAACTTCCTTATTTGAAAATCTCCGGTAGGTAATTCCAGATAAACATATATTGTTGGTCCCAAAATAATAGCACCTGGTAAAAATAAAGTGAAATCATTGATCCTTATTCAACCGTAGAAATTTCTGTATTATCGCTTTCACTGAAAAAGGGGCCAAAATCGTTAACTATCTGTAGTAAAGAATGTTTTCTTTTGAGCAGATAAGCATTTCAACATATCCGAAATAGCTCACACTCTGATGCAAAAGTGAATCATAGATCAGAGTACATTTTTGAACTATATGATGACTATCGAATCAGTTTCGGTTTTCAATTTGAACAACCATTAACAATATTGATGCTGGAGGGTTATCCGAGCTGGAAGTGTTATTTACACACATTTCGCAGCTAGACTCTGCAACATCATAAGTGTGACCGATAGAGTTAATCGACCAATCAAGTTAAGTGGTCGCCATTACAACCAAATACCCAAACAAATAGCAACAAACAGAGGAAACCGATCAATAAGATTGAGTGGATGCAAGTAGCCAAACAAAGTCGTCTAACTGAACTGAACATATAGGCCAGATTTCACTGAGGACTGCTGCTCCTCGAAGTAGTGCTGTTTATATTGCTTAGTCTGGCTACTAAACGTGTGCAGACAATAAATCGAGCTTGGATAACCCTTCAACACCATAATCCGCTTCCATAATCATAACCATTTGACATTTTATCCAATCTTTAACCAAGAACTTTCGTTCCGCGGTTTTGCTTACCGTCCTTTGATTTCTCACTGAAATGAAAATGATGTACTACTCAGGTCGAGAGTCTTCTCATAAATTGAATGAATTCTACTAACCCGAATCAGGTTTATGGTGAGTGTCGTGTCCTGTCAAGTGTTGCTTAACATGTCTATAGCCCATCACTGATCAACGACTCCCGCTTTCTTTAAGTTTGTCAACCTGCAGATTATTTCCTTGAAGTATACCGGCAATATTGAAGGTGATCTCAAAACTGTATTGTTCTTTATATCGGTTTCTCCTGAGCTGTCCGGCGTCAATATGTCCCTAAACACGTTGTACGCTCAAGAGTAAACACCCAGATATGAATAACTGTTGTCCAGTCATACGCTTCATTATTGATTTCACCTATTCCCCACACTTTAAAATCCCATTATTCTTGAACATGTTTTCACTCTTCCGTACCCCCGTTTTCAGCTTCGAGATCGTGATAAACCAAATATGGCCACTTTGCGAATTATCACGGAATCGCAACTGGTTCGCGGTCCACTAATCGGTTCTGGCGCTTTCGGTACAGTGTTCTGTGGTATATGGCGTCCACAGCACACACCGGCTGGTGTCATGGCAGACAGTGGTCACGTTTTGAACACCGTTGCATCCCTTTCACCACGCACAGTAAGTACCAGCATTTCACTGGCGGATGGGGAGTGGCCAGATCGCTTAGAAGTTTCGTGGACCGATTCCGGTCGAGTGGTTCGAGTACCTTCCCATAATCGTGGACTCACTCCAACCTCGGATGGTGCAATGATGGGACACACCTCGACTCCGACCACACCCAAATTGCAGGTAGAGATCCCGGTCGCGATTAAGGTGCTCACGGACACAGCGGACACGCAAACGAATAAGGAGCTATTGGAAGAAGCCAAGGTGAGCTAAAAAATTAGCAGTAGTCATGTGCAGTTAGCCGAATTTTCTGATATCAACAACTCAAGATTGAATACAAGGTCACTTTTGACAAGTCTATATTTTGAACTGCCTTCGTGATGGCAGTTTAATGTAATGGATTTTAAAGGAATGATGAAAGAAAATGAAGTGGACATAAGTGGCCGATCTTAAGGATAGTTAAAAGTAACACGTGCAAAGTGGAGGAGTTTTAAGTATTGATCCGGTAAACATGAAGTCTTCAGAGAGAGCAAGATGAACCGGATAGCCTACGTTGTGTGTTTTATTGATTGTCTTTTTCTTATTTACTGTGACGAAAACGATGTTCAATTATTGTGTAATTATCCGTCATTTAATACACCTAAGGCATGACGGACTGATAGAACTTGCTTGGTGAGCTACGGAGTGCAATTTATTGATAGCACTCGAAGAACGGTTGATAACATTTTGCAACCCCCTCCCTCACAAGAAGCACATTTGCTAGAATAACTCACTTTAGCAAAGTTATGATGAAAAACTGTTTGTTTTCCCACTATGACAGTGATCAGTAAACCAATGTTTGAACAATCTGGGCACCACAATTGGTGAGATCTAGTGAAGGAAACGAGGTGGGTTTGATAGCATCCCGTGCTCTATGAAGCACTGTCAAAATACGCGTGGCTTACCGTAAGATCCTGCGTCTTCATCTCAAATTCTATTCAAAAGCAGTTATCATTTATTATCATCTTCATAGTGGGTACTATTTTGTCAATTGTGAGCTACTTTGTAAACATTATAGAAAAATCCATGTTATTTTCCGGGAATTAGCTAACCTATACACTAGAATTTGTAACTCTATTCCGAGGGGTTGGCAGACGAGGCGTGCTAGCACAGAATTGATGAGAACTGAAGTCTCACTGCCTTGTTACGTTACCACTCCTCGGTCGAATGGAATAATGAAATATTTGCAAACGTGATTTTGAACCCCTTACTGTTCTCATGGGAACTCACCAAATGACGTGTAGAACTGGCACATCTAACAGATTTGGATAAGCTTGTTTTACGAAAGCACTTAATTATTGTACCAATTTGACCTAGAGATCTGATGAACTTGTCCTGCCTCGATCACTGTATGACGGGGTGATGAAAATGGTTGTTATACAATTTCTTAAGCACGTATATATATGATTACACTTTGATTTTTAGACCCGTATATGCTTATACTGACAGTTGGAATATAATTTTAAAATAACACTTGTTTTTAGCAATTCACTATCATGCTTTTGTCATTTAAATAAGAAGATTCAATCTCTGGTTTTGGATATAAATTTAATTTAAATTGTGTCGAACGAGTGATCGTAAATTCCAACAAAGTATTCAAGATCCATCATCCGACCGCGTGTATTTTTGTTGAGCATTTTAACGCCGAACTACTACATTTATCTTTCTGTGGACTCGTATGAGTCCCTACTCCAAGCTTCCAGGGCATAAGTTACTGATTTTAGGTTTTCTCAACTAAGTGGTTTGCCCCGTTAAACCCCATGTCTAACTAAATTACATAACAAACGTTCTATCTGTACATCACGTAGAAGCAATAAAGATAATGATGAACAATTGGTGAAAAGTTTTGAATTTGGATCTTTTGAGAGCCAAAAGCAGCAGTTACTCAAATGAATACGTGCATTATTTGAAACAGGGGTAAACGACTGGTGGATGGAACAAAGGTTTGTCAACCTGTTACCGTACACTGATACGTCCCTGATCACAAACACACCTACAAAAAACACCCTTACGTTCGCAGGTTATGGCTACAGTCGATCATCCTTGCTGCTTGCGATTTCTTGCACTGTGTCTGACATCTCGATTGCAATTAGTCACACAATACATGCCGCTGGGCAGTCTGTTGGATTTTGTGAAAACCCGTTGTGATCTGGTCGAGGTGAGTACCCTGATGCGTTGGGCTCATCAGATTGCCAGCGGAATGGCCTATCTGGCCATGCGCGGGATCATTCATCGAGATCTGGCAGCACGAAATGTCCTTGTCGAATCGCTTGAACAGGTACGTGTGGTGTCCGAGTATTTTTTCCTCTAATGAATTGCATCTCAAAGTCACGCTTCCTCACACTCTCCTCCTGCACTCTTGTACCACTTCTCAATACCTCAAGCTGGACTGTCATGCCACACAATTGTGATTCCCATTTTCAACCGCAACAGCTTCCATGCAGCTCTGTTTTTTTTTCTCGTTTATCTGGTAACACTTGAATTTTGTTGGTTCATATCTACGGTCTTCTTAGTGAATAAACCTGGACTTGATAATTCAAGTCGAAATGATCAAAAAGATCACCTATGGTGACATCAAATATCTGAATAAAAGATATTTTGAAGAAAAATCTCTCGTGTAGTTTTACTGTGTGAAAACTAAAGATTTCTAGCAGTACTATTTGGAGAAAATACAGTCGATTAACTGTTACAGATTAGTGTGCCTTCAGTCGTGAACGACAATTGGGCTATTTATCCGGTGATCTTTCAAGTCTTGTATGACTCGTCTCCTTTGGGGTTTGAGTAGCTAGCATTACACTGCCTTTCCTTGCACCTGTTGACTTCCTAATGTCTCTGCAATCAACGAACCGGCCCCAAAAAGAGTTGATGCAAAGTGTCACGCTATCTATGTACTTACATCCATCGGGGTCATTACTACGTTCGTGGTTACCAGCAAGAACCTTCAAAACACTTATTTGAACATGGTAGTTATTAAATTCAAACTACTATCCAGGGCAACGTTGAGTCAGAAGCTAAGTCCAAATGTACTAGGGGGTTATTCGATTCAAAACAATAGCGATACGGTACAGACGAGGCGTTACAATTACATGAACAATAATACACTTCAAATTGTGGCGCTCTCAGGGGATATGCCTGAACCGGTGAAATGAACAAAGCTAATCGAGAACGAAAGTGCAAATGAGGGAGTTCACCAGTCCGTCAAGCGAACAAGCGATAAGTGAAACATCGTCAGAGCATACTTGTGCACATGGGACAGTACGACACAGGTGATACAGATGATCAATCCGAATAAGATTAAGCAATCGATACGATAATCAGAGGACAGGATGAGTCAGACGATATCAGCGTTGGGGACAAAGGTCACGAGAAGAGGGCGGCAGGAGGGATAAACAGGCTTGATAGGCGAGCAAAACGATGGAATCATTCACGGCGAACGAAAAGTGCGTGTTTGGTGATCGAGAATACGCAAAGGTCAAGACAATGACCAAGGAGAGAGGTGACTAAACAGAAAAAGTGTGGAACGTGGCAAACGGATTCAACAGTCGTATACAAATGACGAAATATGTCCATTGATTAAGAACACAATGTAGACGAACATATGTTTTCGGTAGATTCCTTTTCAAGCCTTTACAATCAAAATGTACATGAAACAATTTCATTAGGGTCAGAGCGAAAGGTGGATGAGTAGTGTGTATTGAGACCGAGAGAACCCCAAGTTCGTACGCTGTTTGGATTACGTAACCAAAAGTCACTATCTTACGTCATGGTCATATGGACAATTTTCTCTTCCGTTGGCCCGGGGGAATTTGAGAGCCTGGATCAATTTTCGTTGTGCGCACAGCTCACGCTTCATGAGTCGGACGCCAATCGCCTCTGCGAATATCAACGTCCGGAACCGTATTGCCTCGGAGGGGCGTGATGAGACTCGATAAATGATTGTAAATGCCGAGCGCATGTCAACCAAGTGTCCCGTCTCGACCAGATGAGCAACAATCGAGCTTGACACGGTTCCACTCCTACTCTGTGTGAGCCAGCGTGGACTGCGTTCTTTGATCCGTTGAGATAACTAACTGCCCTATCGTTCGACCCACCTAAGTCGCACCACAGGTGCACTTGAATTGATAGACAACAATAGATGAGGTCAATATAAGCAGCTTATCTTTGTTGTAGCATCGTTGTATGCCCGGTACGAGTTTGCATATTTCTGTTTGTCAGTTTTGCACTTTACCGGACAGGAAGACGAATTTTCGAAGGTAACCCTTCCCATTAATAGGATGAGATCTTTTCCAGATAAGCCCCGCCACTAATGTAAAAATTACATGCGCGAAAAGTTAAGTCCCGCCATTTTTTGCACACAACCTTGACCTGTTTTTGATGAAAACAATTTCCTATCCGCAAACGTTTTCTCCGTTCCGACGTAAAACCTTAAATGAACTTGCTGACGCTTTCAACTCTCGTTCATGACAAGTAGACGGCAATACATTTTTTGCAAAGTCACGGAGTAATCCATCAGCAACAATGGTCACCAAATGACATTTTCAACTGGTTCTGACAGGTGGTGTAATTCTATTAATTTATTGCTGGTCCAGAAATTTGACAAAAATCAAATTCTGCTCAGTGGAATTATCTATTAGCCACACGACCGTTGTTGACTGGAAGAACTTTCTTCGCGAAGTTTGTTCCCGGCGGCTTTTGCAGACTTCCAGTTATCGACGGCCCAGGTCTACACGTCGAGATCGATGAAACGCTAGTATCTCGCCGTAAAAGCCACGCAGGGCGAGTCCTTCCCCAACAGTGGATTTTCGAAGGGATCAGCCGGTAAACTAAAGAGATGTTTATGTATGCAGTGCCAGATTGAACTGCGGCCACTTTGATGAACACAATCCAGGCCTGCATCGCTCCCGGCTCAATCATCATCTCCGATATGTGGGCATCCTATCAAGGAATTGAAACGATGATTGACATGAATTGTACTCACGAAATGGTTAATCATAGCCGAAAACTTTGTGGATCCAACGACTGGAACCCACGCACAAACCATCGAATCTCTTTGGCACGTCTACAAGATACAGCATAAACGCCAATGAGGCACACATCGGCCTTTAGTGGACAGCTACTTGTGTGAGTTCGTTTGCAAGCAAAGGTACCGACAAACGGATCTTTTCATGCAAATTATTAATGAAATGTCCCAATTTCACCCTATTCAATAAAAACTAAAAGTACAA